CTTTTTCTGAAATCATACTGTCCTACATTAGTATTTTGATCTACATTGCTATTTTGATTTTGATCTTTGATATTTTCAGTATACAAATATCCTATTACTTCAGAAAAAAGTGTACTTCTTAATTTCAAATAACGATTTCATTTAAATAACAAGATAAATGAAATCTACAATTATTTTCTATGTGTTTTGTGTATCACTCAAGAAATTTTTACAACTAGGTAATCCTCTGAAGAATTTCTCCCACATATACAAAAAGAATCATATATGAGGATATTCACTGCAGCACTATTTAGAAAATGAATTAGGAAATAGTTTGAAAATAAGGGATTACTCATGCTATAACAGAATCCTATAGAGCAGTGAAAATTAAGCTACATGTACATTTACTGACATAGATAAATCTGAAAAACAATGTTGGATGAGAAATATTCCCAAAGGATATTTACAGCATACTGTATTTCAATATTCATAAAATGAATAATAAATGCTTTTGAGTAAATACATAGAAAACATAGAAAAACATGCATACACATGCACATGCATAAAACTTTAAGATAATCATTACCTGTGGGGTGGGAAGAAGGGAAAATGGATGAGAGTAGGACTGAACCAATATTTTATTTAAGTGAGATCTGAAGCAAATATGGTAAAATGTTGAAATGTTACTTTATTTTATGTACTTGTTTCTGTAAACGTATGTTTCAATATTTTATATTTAGTTTTGAAATAAGTAACTCAAAGATTACAACTGTGTAAATGGAAAAGATGCATTTTCATTTCTGAGCTCAATACATTTTAGTGGTTTTAAAGAGAACAAAATTAGTTCGTCAAGTTGAAAACTAAGTGTAACTCACTTTTTAACAAACTGGGGCAAGTATGTCAAAACAGGATATAGTATGTTAAAAAAAACATAGTTCCTAAAATGGTTAATTTAGCTATGTCATTGGACTATAATTTTTTTCTAAGTCAGTATTAGTTTATATATACAGTTTATGTTGATAGCTTCCTAAATTAGCCATCAATTTCTGAACTAATTGGACTGAAGTTTGTAAACTAACTACAGCAATTTAGCACCTTGAATCAGTAATTTATTCATATATGTGTATGAAAATAAACCTAGAATTTAGTTTCCTGTGTGATTTCTGACAGTGTGATTTCTGCAGAAAATAATTAAGACAAAATAAAAAGTCAGTGCTATATGGCTATACACACACATTTTCCCTTAAGCATGATATTAAACATTCGTCACACAGAATACTCAATAAAATGTTCCAGAAACATACCATCTGAGAGCAATACCACCAATACATCAAAGTGGCACTAGGAATACGCTTCCCAACAACAGTGGTTCTTCTTTGATTCTGCTTTCAGGACCTATCTATATTTTAGACACTGACTGTTCTAAAGTCTCTTTCCAAAATTCACCATTTAGACATAGACTTTGACACAATATACAAAATTGTTTGTCTTTGAGGACTCAAAATCAGAGGAAAAAGCTATTACTGATCCTTACCATCACCTTCTACTTGTTGATTCTCTTGGGTTCTAACAAAACATAGCAACTTAGCTTTGGTTAACTGAGCCACTATAGTGGCAGTTTCCTACTGTAAACTACAGTCTCAGAAATTCATCTTTATGCTCAAAAGGCTAAATACCCCCTTGTGGGCAACAGACTATATAACATTTCTTTGATTTTCACTGGCAACCTAAGAAACTAATCTAAAAAACCGATATGTATATAAGTACAAATATTTTATAGTACTTCCATCAAAATCACAGCATTTAAATAAAATCTACACACAATTTCATCAGTATAAGATCTTCACTATAATTATAGTTATGTAATATTAAAAATATCAAATGGGCACATTGTCATTACACTTCTATTTACATATTTAGCATCATGTTTTATCTTTTGGAGATTCATTTTTTTTTGGAGACTCATTATTTTACAATCATAAATTCTGGCTCTGTTCATCTGCTCAAAAAGTATATAAAGGCACTATGTAAAACACACGCAAACAAATACAACACATACTCTACTTTCATGAATCCTAAATGAATTCTGATGTAAAGTTCTGTAGATGACTGGCCAGTCTGGTTATGTACCTAAGGCAGGGCAGACCACAAAAGGAGAGGTGGCTCAGGCAGATGGAGGAGGCTTTATTGCTTCTACCACCCTTCCCTTTCTTACTCATCTACAGTTCATCAATGAATCTGGAAATTTAGTGTATGTAATAACTAATTAGAGCAAATGTTCAACCTCATTTTATTCTAATTTGTTAGCAGTAGAGATAAGGGATTTGCTATTTTAATAATAGCAAATCCCCAGGTACACCTAATACATGTGTCTAACACTGTTTTTTTCTTCTGAATATGTATGATATTACCTGGAGGCCACAGGCAAGATTTTGCACAAATCTGAAAACACATGGTATCCTGACATATAAGTACTATAGATCTAATATCTGGAAGGAAAAGATAAGCTTGAGATAAATAATAGCCACTGAAGGCAAAGGTGTTTTGATTAGTGGTATTTAACCTTTTCTGCTTCAGAGCTCAAAGAGAAACAGAAGTTATTTTTAAGTAGTGCTTTTTGTAAACAATGGGCAGAAAAGTGGAGGTATTTTTAGTAAGCACATCAGATTTTCTAATATGGTCATAAACAGCAATTTAAACTCATGTTTCAATTTTCACTTGTATTTACCTCCGCGTTTTTTGAGATTTTCAGTTTTCATTTTACTTCTGCTTCTAAATTCAGGCCCTTTAAAATCATCTTTGTCTTCATTCAGCACTGGCTCTGGTTGTACAATCACTGTACCTAGAATGATTTCATTTAAAAAACCATTACACATATTAAATGTGCAAGTGAAGTACAAGACTTCAGTTCAGATAAAGCCAACATTGGTTTGTTTCTTTCAAGATTTAAATATTGTATAAGGACCTCACAAGAGTAAATAAAACAGGGTCATAGTAAAAGGGCCAGATGTAAACAATCAGATTATTTGTCAGATATAGTTCATAAAAACAGGAGGGTGAGATATTATGAACTGATTAAAACAGAAATGTGTGAATAAAATAGAAAGCCTCAGCTCTGTTCTCAATTTTTATAGTGCCTATTAAAAAAGCTGTTATGATTAGGAATGTTCAAAATAAGTTACAGAAAGAGATTATAAAATAAGTGGTCTAGAGAAGGGGAAAAAAGACAATCTTTTCTCATACACTAAATCAGAAAACTCAGAAAATTAAAACTTAAGGTCTTCTTTTGCACCAGGGAGGAAGTGGGTAAAAGGGTAAATGAAATTCATTCATTAGTGCTAGACCTATTCTACAGAATTTGTGAAACAGTATACCAAAACTTCGCCATTCTGCAAAGTCCTTAGAGTCTTAAACAGAAGATTACTTGGAGACACTAAGCTGAAGTGCTAACAATGAATGATAGAATGAGATCATTTGTTGATGCCTACTGAAAAACTTTAGAATGTCCTTTCTTAACTATGAATGTAGATTAAGGAGAAAGTTAATAATTTAAATTTTCATTACATTCTCTTGATTACATTTTTTAAAAGATCCAGGTAATGGGGCAACCTGCTCGGGACCCCCTTCCGTCCCTCTCTAGGACAGGAGCTTTCTTTCCCCCACTAAATATATTCTGCTCTTAAAAAAAAAAAAAGATCCAGGTATAAAAGTATACTACACTGCTAGACTTAGTAATGAGCTATTACTGGCAACAATTAAAGTAAAAGCAGTAATTGCCAGGCTCCCACTGACACATGGGCCTATGTTATCCAACAGGATTATAGATATGTATCAAGTAGTTGTTAAATGAATTCCTGTATCTCTAAAGAGGGAGGGGGGTACAAAAGGTTTAGATTTTACAGACTGTAGTAAATTTAAGTAATGTCCAACTTCCAAAATCGTTATTTACAACAATCATCTCATGTATATACTGCCAGAAATTCCCAAACATGTGAAAAGAGCTCAATACTTAAAATTAACCAAAACATTGAGCTCTACATGTTTTAAGATTCTTCTCTAAATGAAAGTAGCAAATGTAAATAAGTCACTAGTTGCATTAAGATGAAGGCAGACCTGAATTTACAGTTTTTTTAATTTAAAGCTGAAACAATTCCTTGAGCTCTGAATTTGTTTGGTTTTTTTTCATCTTTTGAAGTAGAAAAAATGAAAGGCCTTACTACATTGTTCTGAGGATTAAAGGAGTTAATTACTCAACAATCTGGTACTTATAATATTCAATATAGTATTATAACAATAGCCACCAAGATTAAAGATATGAAACAGTATGTTTTTGTTTTAGGATGAAAGAATTAAGCTTAGCTTAATTTAGTAAAATTATGTACTTTCTTCCATAGTACCATTTTGAATTTCTAGTTGTATCATATGCCCTCCCACTGACATAATACTATGAACATAAAAATCTAAAGTGTAGGGCCTAGGAGATAGCTCAGCAGCATAAGCACCTGCCTGGCAAGGTACCTTACAATTCCCCGTACCCAAAAAAAAAAAAAAAAACTAAAGTGTGTCACTGACTTTGGGATTCATATTCCCATGTTAATTGTCCTGCCCTTAACCATCTAAACCAATACATTTTCAAAAATGATCTTCAAAGCAAAGTACATAGTGGGCCCATCAATTCTCCATCTGTTTCTTCTTTTTTAAGACAGGGTCTCGCTGTGTAGTTCAGACTGACCTTGAACTCACTATGTAGCTCAGGCTGGCCTAGAACTTGTGGCAATCCTCTTGCCTCAGCCTCCCAGGGTGCTGGGATTATAGGCATGCGCCACCATGCTCAGCTTCAATTCTCCATCACATTTCTTCCCATTTCTTTTCCTTGTCATATGTTTAATTAATCTTTGTTAAAGTCCAATCCCTTCAACTCATCATATTCTTAAATCATCCATAACTTTTTAAATGTGTCACAAAAACACAGACAAGGAACAGGATTTGATACACACTATTGTAAAAGATCAAGCTGTAAGAATGAATTCAAAAAATCTGCTGAGAGTAGACTATATCATTTAATAACTCCCCCCACAAAAAAACTAAATTTTTTTAAACTAAAATTTTGACTCTTTGAAATACTATGAAATTACAAAGCCTTTCATCACTCTCTCATCAATCATACCACTATCAGATTTGAGTTATAAACACTCCAAGAATTTTATTGAACTTTTTTCCTCAATTTACTTAATGAAATCTGAAAGTCAGAACTGTAATAATGGAGAGACATATGATAAGGCTTTTAAAAAGATACGTTCAAAAAATACACCTAACCCCCACCACAAAAAAAAGAAATGCACTAACTCTTATCTTTAATAGTGAAATGTGGCTATTAGCCTTAGAGAATTTAACAATGCAATAAAATAAAGTGATGGGGAAGCAATTGTTTATTATGCATGAGACCCTAGGTTTGCTCCTCAGCACCACAGAAAAAAGAATGCAGTAAAACTAGACTGTACAATGTTCTTAGATTCAGAAAATCATTATTTACATAAAACAAGCACATTAACTGAATCAAAACCTCATATTAAATTTTACTTTCTCAGTTAATGAAAAATAAATAAATAAACTTACTTTCTCATTCATGTGTAATTTACAGAGTAAAGTGACTTTTTGTTGTTTTTTTTTTGAGATAGGGTTTTACTATGCAGTTCAGGCTAGCCTTAAACTCACTTGGTAGCCCAGGCTATAAAGTTTCTTTAAAAAAAAAAACTAATGGAAATAAATAATACTGGACTCTATCCTTTCCAAACTAATTGAACATTAGAAATGCTTAGCCTCAATAACATATCTATCATTATCATACTAACACATTTACAGACCATTATCAGTAAAATGCCAATGTTGGTCCTTTGCACATAGCTAACAATTATCAAGTTCAGATTTTGTAATGATATTTTAAAATACATTTCAACTTTACTATTAAAAATTAATATACATTACCTTTTGGCAAGCTCTGCATAGTAATATCATTTTCTGAATTTTCATTAGAAGTATCTTCATTTACGGTTTCTTCCAAAACTTTTTCATCATCTGATTCTATATACTTTGTTACGATTGAAGGTTTCCTAAGAAAGAATTAAGTGATTAAAATTATGATTTTTTTATATTTTATGGAAGGGTCTACAGGGTGTTCAGGGTCTCACTACTAGATCAGACTTGTAGTGATCCACTTGTTTACAGCCTCCCAATAGCTGTGATTACACGTCTGCACCACCATGCCCAGTCTCAACTGCCCTCTCAGCACGCCCCAGGGGTGGGGCTGGCAAGGTTGTCTCAGGATCAAACCCTCAGCCCCCATGCCTGCTTACAGATGCTTTAATCCACTGAGCTATTTAGCCAGACCAAAATTATGATATTTCTGACCATTAAAAAAACACTTGAGGTCGAAGAGATGGCTCAATAGAATAAGTGCTTGCCTGGTAAATGCAAGGGCCTTAGTTCAATCCCCAGTTCTGAAAAAAAAAAACCCACAACACTTCAAGGGAGCCAGGTAGATGGTTCAGTAGAATAAGTGCTTCCCTGGCAAGCACAAGAGCCTGAGTTCAATACCCAGTTCTGAAAAAAAAAAAAAAACTTCAAGAATATAAATCATGTATGTAGATCTGGCAGTGCCTCTCAAGCACGGATGTGCATCAGACTCACTTAGGGAACTTTAAATCTCCTATCACTAAAGATTATGATAAAGTAGATCTGTGGTAGTATATGCATTGTGAAAAAGGTACAAAGGGAATCTTAAAGGATTTTTTTTTCCAAGAATCACTATCTCAGGGCTGGGGAGACAGCTCAGTAGAAAAACGCTTGTCTCGAAAGCGTAAGATCCTGAGTTCAATCTCCAGTAACACACACACACATACACACAAAAAAAAGAATCACTATCCCAGAGATTAAACTAATAATAACAAGCAAGTTGTGTTTATTAAGAGGCACTGTCACTGCTTAAGAACAAGTGTCCAAAACACTAGGTTGCAAACTTCTAGTAAAAACTATATGCTACAGCATATTGGGCATTAAGTATACTTGAAAACAGTTTCACTTCTTACATATAATTTGATAATCTACAATAAAAAATATTTTCGACTAGTCATGGAGCTACATGTAACTTAAAAATATTCTGACCATCTACTTCTCATCCCAAATAATTTCTTAGAACCTTCAAAAACTCATGTTATCTGAGACATTCAATATTTCTCCTTTTCTCTTTTCCTAAGCACATATAGTATCTAAATAAATGAACTATGCATTGCAAGACCATTGAAATATAAATCCTCTAAAATTTCCTCTCTTCTGGAGGGGTAACAACTTAAGTTTGCAGACCAAAAAATTAGAGAAAAAGGGCTACAAGGATAGCCAACATTTTGGCCCTAGCCCTTCAAGGTCAGTGAGGACTCAGGACATAAGAGAACCTGTACTGTAACATCCTTTAACTCAGTGGTGTCCCCAGTTTTCTGCTTAAGGAGATTATGGGGCCACAAGGAAAGTGACTGACAATGTAGGGTGTGCCTAAGGAGAGTCACATGGAGAGAAAACATTCTCTCAGGCTTTCACAGAGAGCACATTGGTCAAGCAATGGCCGTGACTCATCCACATGGCTGACACTAACAAAAGATCTACAAACTGCTGTACACGGTTTCAGGATAAATCCTGAGGGGATTTGACTGACCTTGTCAGACACAAAAGTTACATTTCTTGTTATATAGGTCTTGCTTCATCTTGGCCTTAACCATCCAGCAGAAAAGTATAAAAACGAGGTATAAAAAGTAAAGCCATATTAATATGCTGAGCTGTAAAAGGCTCAAGTCAACAATTTCTGACATTGCCAGTCCTATGGATAACCCGCTACTATTAGGGACTACTGGACCATATTGGATTATTTTGCTGAATTCATGCACCTACAATATTTAAATGGCAATGGAATACCCATCTCTGACCAAACTAAACAAGACAAGGGGATATAAATGGAAGGACCAGGCAGGACCGGAGAGATGGCTCAGTGGAATAAGAGCTTCCCTGGCAAGCGCAAGGGCCTGAGTTCAATCCCCGACTCCTCAAAAAACAAACAAAAAAAAAGAACCATTTTGTAGTGATATATAGATATACAGCTACTTTCTCTTAGTTCAATGAGAAGATTTGCACTAATAGTGTTTAGACAAGATATCATGTCTGCATCTTCTATTATGAATAACTACTACAAAGACAATATGCAATTTATTATTTTAACTGTCCTACTAACCTGTTTTGAAATTATCTCATTGCTATTTCTTTCTCAATAAAATTAATTTTTAAAAAACGAAGTTGGAATAAATCATTATTGAAACTGGTGACACAAGGACATCTATTACACTATACTATTCATTTCTATGTTGGTATAAATAGTTTATTTAGAACAGTGGTGCTTGGATTGGGTGTGGTGGCACATGCGTATAATCTCAACACTTAGGAGATGAGACAGGTGATCAAAGCCAGCCTGGGCTATATAGTGAATTCAGGCCAACCTGAACTACATAATGAGACCCTGTCTCAACAAAGAAAAAGGAAAAAAAAACAAAACAAAACAGTGCTTAAAGCTCAAAATATAGTAAGAAAAAAAATAATCAAAAAGTTATGTTTTTTTTATCCTTCAACGTCAACCAACTGGGAGCTTGTAGGTTAGCTCAGAGGTTTAAACATACTTCCCGGGGTAAATCCAGTCGGGGGGCAGAGGACTACAGTTAGATGCATGGCTCCCCATGCCTTACCAGATCCGCCCACCTGGCCAGCAAAAAAGAAAAAGAAAAGATAAAAAAAAAAATCAACCAACCTTTTTGATCTTGATGCTCCTGATGATTTAGATTTTTCTGAAGAGCTAGTCCCCTAAATATGAAGGAAAAAAAAATTACACAGGTGAGTAAAACTCTCAAAGCAACATCCCTACAATTTAACTTTTTTCCTATAAGACTTTTGATATAGTGATATGCCTCAAATGTTTCTCTAAGAGGAACTTCAAAAATACATACTAACTCTGTAAGTAAACTAATTTTTATCAATCTATACTAGCTCCTTATTAACTATGTATTTTAACAATTTGTCATCATTAAAGTAATTTTTTGTAAGTTTAATAGTTTTATGAGAAAAAATAGTAGAAAGCATTGCTATACTCTCAATAATTTCTTAAAACTATCTTAAAATTTAAAAGTGCACTTATAGAGATACTACTATACAGATTCAAGTTTTCATCTGTGACTTGACTTTGTTGCTACTGTAACTTTCCATCTGGGACTGAAGTTTAATTATCTTGAAAAAAAACTGCATAGTTGGGCATGGTAGGGCATGACTTTTCTTTTTTCTTTTTCTTTTCTTTTTTTTTTGGGGGGGGGCCTTTTTGAGACAGGGTTTCACTATGTAGTTCTGGCTGGCCTTGAACTCACAGTAATCCTCCTGCCTCAGCCTCCAGAATGCTGAGATTATAAGCATTTGCCATTAAGCCCAGCCAGCATGACTCTTAATACCAGCACTCTAGTAGGTTGAGAAAAAGAGGAGTGAAAGTTCAAGCAGAGGTCAGTAATTTAGCAAGATACCGATTCAAAATAAAAAAATATTTTAAAAGGGTTAGGGATGTAGCCAAGTGGGAAGGTCCTGAATTTAATTCCTATTACATCAAAACAAACATGGTGCAAAACCTGGAGTTCAATCCTAGCACCATTTAAAAAAACTAATTCTTAGGTTTGCTGTTAGGTTTCCTTAACTTAAGATTAGTTCTGCTTTTTTATTATTTTCTTTTTTTCTTAGTGTTAGAGATTGAATCCACTGCCTCTAGCATGTGCTCTTCCACTGAGCTACACCCCAGATCCAATTTCAGTTCTGTTTTATTTTCTGTAGTGCTACGGATCAAACCAAGGGACTCATGCATGTTGGCTAAGTATACCCAGACCGACCTCCCTTCCTCGCTTCCTCGATCTTGATCTCTCTGTCTGTCTGTCTGTCTGTCTGTCTGTCTGTCTTTTTAAATCATTGTTGTTGCATGCTTGGTGGGTGAGAAGGGATGCATTGTTATACCATGACCCTTGCTGCATTCAAGAAAACCAAAAGAAAGGTGCAAAAGAAATCAGCTACCAACACAGGTAAGTAATTTTAAGGATCTAAAAATATGTTATCATTCTTCTCTACACTACTATATGGTATAAAGTAACTTCTACAACTTGCTTTCAGATACTAAATTTACCCTCATTTTGCCAGTATAATCAATGTTAAAATGGATTCCACTCTATATTATGCGTCAATTCCAAAACACCAGTGCTGGGTTGCAATAGCAATGTTTCTTTGGGGGGATGTAATATTTGGGAATTGAACACAGAGCCTTCACACTGAGCTACACCCTCAGCTCCTTTACTTTTATTTTCTGCAAATAAAATTTATCCAGGCTAACCTCAAATTTGCAATCCTACCTCAGCCTCCCAAAATATTAGGATTAACAGGCATGTGCCACAATGTCCAGCTTTGGAAACCCTCTGTATACCAAGTTTTGAAAAATGTCAGACTCATGGAACAATGCCCATGACATCTACCTTAAACATCAGTGGCACACCATAATGATGATTAAATTCCTATCTGCTAGCAAGTCTTCAACTTTCTGGCTTCAAGTAAACTGCTGAAGTAAAGCACAATAACAAAAATAATGAATGCCAGCTGCTCCTGATTGAGGGCCATCCCCACCTAAGGCAGGAAGATGGTGGCCACAAAGAAGACAAAAAATTCTCTGGAGTCCATCAACTCTAGGCTCCAACTTGTTATGAAAAGTGGAAGGTACATGCTGGGGTACAACAAGAAGCTGAAGATGTTCAGACAGGGCAAAGTGAAATTGGTCATCCTTGTCAACAACTGCCCAGCCTTGAGGAAATCTTACATAGAGTACTATGCCATGTTGACCAAAACTGGTGTCCACCACTACAGGGGCAATAACATCGAACTGGGCACAGCATGGGGAAAATACTACAGAGTATGTACACTGCCAGGTGATTCTGATATCATTAGAAACATGCCAAAACAGACCGGTGAAAAATAAACCAAGTAGAACTGTTGATTAACAAAATTTGCCAGAGCTTTAAAAAAAAAAAAAAAGAATCCCTTCTTTTTTGTTTTGGCAGAACTGGGGATTGAACTCAAGCCCTTGAGCTTGCCATGGAAGCACTTATTCTACTGAGCCATCTCCCCAGCCCCTGAATGCCTTCTTAAACTGAGTAGCTGGCAATATAAAGAAGATAGACTTGAAGACAACATGCATCAACTTGCAGCAATACAATGGCAATATTCTAGCAGGCTATTGGTAACAAATGCATTTAAACTATTTCAAAGTTGGGCTGGTAATGTAGCTTAGTGGTGGAAAACTTGCCTAGTATGTATAAGGTCCTAGGTCCAATCCCTAGCATCCCCCCCAAAAAAAATACTGCAAAGTATTCTTACTTCTTCCTTGCTGTTTTCCATCATATCGGAGCTATTTCCAGAACCAATGATTTTATCTAAAAAAGAAATAAATAATATTACATATCTCTTCGATGTATTATCAAATACAACTCCAATACCTGTAATTCCACACACCCATTTTCAAGCTATGAAATACGGTAAATATGGTATGCTAATACTTATTAATTGGCCATTACTCATTAAAATACCCAGCATACTTCTCAATTTGTTTTATATCCTGATACTGAAAAAAGCTAAGACAATACAAAATGAGAACATTCCAGAACAACAGCACTTATAAATATTGATGAAAAGTCCTGAAAAAAATACTGCAAAATTTCAAAAGAAAATACAAGCCATAGACTTGAAGAGAATCTTTCCAATTACATCTACAATAAAGGGACAATTGCTAAATATGTACAAATTCTTGAAATGCAACAATAATATAACAACCTAATTTAAAAAGGGACAAAAACCATTTGAACAGACACCTCATGAAATAAGTTTATATGCAAATAATCAGATGAAAAGCTACTCCAAAATATATTATTAGAGAACTGTAAATTAAAACATCAATGAGATAGTTCTACATACTATTAAAATCTAAAACACTGACAACAGCAAATGCTGCTGAGGATGTAAAGCAACAGGAAATTTCATTTATTAATAGTGAAAATACAAAATATTATATCCACCTTTAGAAGAATTTAGCAATTTTTTTTTTCTTTGTCTTTTGATTCTTTTCCAAACTAGGTCTAACTATATAGTCCAGGCTGGCCTTGAACTTGTGATCCTCCTGCCTCCTCGAGTGCTGGGATTATCAATACATACAAGCATGACTTTCTTAGAAACTGAAGACATTCTTATCCTATGATGCAGCAAACAAGCTCCTGGTGCTTAGCAGAAGGAACTAGAAACACATAAATGTTCATATAGACATCTTCATTTTACATGAACATCTTATTTCTGCAAACATCTTTATAAACAGGTTTAGTCTAACAGTCAAACTTGGGAGCAGCTAAATATCCTTCAGAAGGTTAATAAATAAACTGTGGTCCATTAAGGCACAGGAATATTTCAAAACTAGAAATAAATTGTATCAGGTCATAAAAACCTGGATGAAAATTAAATGCGCATTACCAAATAAAAGCCAATCCTAGGGCTAGCCAGATAGTTCAATGGAGTAAAGCACCTGCTTAGGCAGACTCAGGGGCTGGGGTTCAATCCCCAGCCTGCTGTGCCAGCCCCACTCCGGGGTGCGCTTAGACAAGAATTGAGACTGGGTGTGGTGGCACAGGCCTGAAATCCCAGAACTTAGGAAACTGAAAACAGGAGAATCACTACAAGTCTAATCTGTGTAGTGAGACCCTGTAGACCCTGCAATAAATACAAAGAAAAGGGAAAAAAAAGAAGCCAATCCTGAAAGGATGCATACTCATGCTTCCAATTTCATGACATTTGGCAAAAAGGAAAACTATGCAGACAGGAAAAAAAAATAAGTGCTTGTGGGAACCTGGGGAGGAAAAAGAAATAAATAAGAGCAAAAAGGATCTTCAAGGCAGCAAAACTATCAAGTATGATACTACAGAGATAGATCTAGGTTATTATACATTTGTCAAAAATTCTTGGGCTGGGGAGATGGCTCAGTTGAATAAGTGCTTCCCTGGCAAGCGTAAGGGCCTGAGTTCAATTCCCAGTTCTGAAAAAAAAATTCTTGAAAGAAGGGCTCTGGATATAGCTCTGTGGCTAAAGCACCTGCCTGGCATGCACAAGGTCCCAAGTTTGATCCCTAGTACCACAAAAACAAACAAACAATAACAACAAAAAAGAAAGCCCTCAAAGAACCAGGCATGGTGGTACATACCTGTAACCCCAACACTAAGGAAGCTGAAACTGGAGGACTGCCAAAACATCAAGGCCAAGGGGGGAGAGAGGAGAAGGGGAGGAGGGAAGGAGGGAGGGAGGGAGAGAGAGAGAA